ATTGAATACATCTCTACAACACCATATAAATCCATATATACATATCCATATATATAAATCCATCCATCCATCCATCCATCCATCCATCCATCCATCCATCCATCCATCCATCCATCCATCCATCTTGCAGCTCTTCTAGGAGGATTCCAATTCATTCCAATGCCAGATGAGAAACATAGTCTCTCTATTGTGCCTGGTGTCATCTTCTCCCTGTCGGACATGCCTGAAGCAACTCCCTAGGGAGGCAYACAGGAGGCATCCTTACTAGATGCCTGAACCACCTCAACTGGTTTGTTTGGATGTGGAGGAGCAGCAGCTCAACTTTCATTCTATCACTAAGGGAGAGTCCAGCAACCCTATGGAGAAAACTAATTTTGACAGCCTGTATCTACATTCTCGTTCTTTTGGTCACTACCCAAACTTTGTGACCATATTAGGTTAGGGTAATGTAGACCAACTGGTTAACAGCTCAGCTCTCTTTTCACCACAGTGGACCAGCACAGAGTCCCACAAACTGCAGAAGCTGCACTGATTCATCTGTCAATTTCACGCCCCATTCTTCTTTCACTCATTAAAAAGACCCCAAGATACTTATCACTTCCACCTCTTCTTGGAGTCAATAAAGAGCCCGTTACTGCTGGTGTTTAGTCAGCTTTAATTAACTCTTCTTATAACTTTTGTGTCTCTGACACAACACCAACTAAAAATACAACATAAATATAGAATGAGACGGTGTCACGAAGACAATGACATAAACAAATGATACAAGACATATAAACATACCTCGCTGGCTGACCGTTCTTTTGAGGTAGAAATGAGCAAGAAAAAGAATTCTTAAACTTGAATTACTTTAAACAACTAATTAATATCTTGCCTTCATAGCATGTGCTTCTTTCCTTTAGTGCCCCAGCGAACATTCTGGATTGCACTTCCTACTTTTGCTTTTCAAAATAAAAGTCACAATAACAAAAAATGTGCCTAATACAAAATAAAACAAAAAACTAAAACTATGGCAGTAAAAATACTTGAACTCCTCCACTTGAAGCAGAACCTCAGCTCCAACGCGAAGAGAGCAATCCAACCTTTTCTGACTGAGGACCATGGACTCAGATTTGGAGGTGCTGATCCTCATCCCAGCCGCTTCACACTCAGCTGTGAACCGCTCCAGTGAGAGCTGAAGATCACGGCACGATGACGCCAACAGGACCACATCATCTGCAAACAGATGGAATCCTGAAGCCACCAAACAGGACTCCCTCTGGCCCCTGTGGTTTACAAACAGAATCTGTGACTTCCAGTGACATTGTGTTTGGTCAAAGCAAAAACAAAGTACACTTTCCTGAAAGAACATAAATGAGATGAGTAATGGGAAACAAACATTTTTAGGTAAGACCTTCTCACCATAGTAGTTACTTTGTCCTCCAGAAAACATAAAGAAGAAGGCAAAATATTTATAAACTTTGAGAAAACTGTCACAAGTGTTAATCAATAATGTTGCAATCACAAAGGCTCCAGTCAACTTCAGAAGACCGGAAGAGCTTTGACACGTTCTAGTTAACTAGAAATGGGAAAATGAAAAACATGAATAAATACAAATTTTTAGAACAATCAGATGACATTATAGTTTTGTGGCACTCATCAGTTTTCCTGAGGAAAGTGCTACCTGATTGACTTTGTGAATTAAGCAGGAGAAACGAGACTGGATTGGCTCAGACGGAGACTAGGTGTGGTAATCAACCTTCCTCTTCTGCTCAACGCCTCTGATTGCAATCAGGAAGAGAGACTTTGACTTGATGCCAATCCAACATCAAACCATAATTTGCCAATTGTTTCACAATTGTGAGTTTGTTCTGAAGCACCTGAAAGTGGTCTCAAACCCAAAAGATGATGCAGAATTAATCATACTGGCTGGTATCTAATCACAGTGTTCAGCTCAAAAATATCTTAAAACATGAAGGAATAGGAGTASATACAGAATGTCTGATTCTGCATATCGTTATGCAATGTAGGTTTTTATTGCTTACCTTTTTAGGAAAAAATATCAAAATTGATTAGTATAAAATTGTAAAATTACTAATTAGGACAGACTTACAAATTTCGTCTTTATTGGGTGCATCAGTTTATTGAAAGCAGTTTATTGAAACCATCAGTTTATTGAATAGCAAAGTTGTGACACATTTTTTCCTCATTCTCTTGACTTTTATGAAGCTATATTATTATAATTAGAAATAATTTAAAATTTTCATAGTAAAGTCATTTATATCTCAAAGCCTCTGACATGCTGTAGGAGAAGCAATGGCACCACTTTGTAATGAGAAAATTATAACATAGCCAGGGTTTCCTCCAGTGTTTTACAGGTTTTACCTATTCACTTATGTATGATTAGTGGTGTGGGGTCTGCACCTTTTTTTCTGAAGTCTGTTATTAGTTGTCCTGATGTATCTCAACAATCCAGTTAGTAAAAGGACCTGACTCAACTTTGTTAGATCTATTATTAGTTTGTTGGTTTTTGAAGAGTTCAGGATAAGGTTGACCACAATCGGAGAGCATTGAGCTGCTGCAACTATACACGCTGCCATAACAGGCACAAAGTACTTTTTTATCCTACTCTGTGTATGGTTTTATTGTGCTTTTTATACTGTTATTTTAAATGTGTAATACTACTTTATCTTATGTGCAATATTCTTCAAATTAATAAAAACTGTTAGATGTGTAACACCGGGGGATTGCCACTCAATTTTATTGTATAATGACAAAGGTATCCATCCATCCATCCATCCATCCATCCATCCATCCATCCATCCATCCATCCATTCCTTTTCTACTCTGAACCTTAAAGCATTGAAAATGTGAAAACACACAAGTCGTCTGAAATTAACTCAAAGTTTTGTTGAAAAACTAAGAGTGATCATCTTTTATAGTTGAGATTTTTGCRCATGAAAGTTCTCACCTCATTTCATTTTGCACTCATGCTCATTTCGAATCCGTTCAAAGAGCTACAACAATCTCCCACACCACRCGAGCAGTAGTTGCCCCTCTTTTTACTCCAGTGGCTCTAAAACCTTAAGCAAGTCCAACTGGACTTGGAGCCGAACCATTAATACTCGTCTGCACCTGGTCTTAGTTCGGACAGAATCTGCTGCATCAATACTGTCCCTCTCCCATTAATTCCCATTACCGTGGATAGCAGTAAAGGGCAGCTCTAAATGGTCTATTGATATTATATTAAAGCTGGAGCTCCCTGGCGTCTGAGCTGCAGGACGACAGTCTGCCTGGTTTCACACTCTGTGTTTTGGCTGCGCTCGTGTCTGTGAATGTGGGAGTGTGTTGCATATTTTAAGGATTAACTCAGCGGTTTGACGAACYGAATCTGAGATATATTCATGTGGACAATATGTTTTCTTGATTAGGGTGATTTTCAGTGGCAGAGAGATGACTTTCAGCAACCAGAATCCTTCAAAAGAAACCTTTAAAACTGAGGAACTGTGGAATGAGTTTAATAAAAGGCATAGATGGGATTTTCTAATATTCTGTAATCTCAACAGAATATCTGAAGCACCCAGCGGTAATTTAGTGAAGAATACTGTGATAACTTTTCCTGCAGATTGAGGTCAAATGTAGTTATGACAAAGTACAAGTAGCAATGGAATCAAGTGTCTTAAGTATGCCAGAGAAAACAGAAGAAGGAATTTTTATTTGTGTAAAGCAAAGGTCGCTTCTGATTGGATTCTCTCGTGGTGAGGGAAAAGGGCAATGCCCCGGAAAAAATTATAGAGTCCAAAAGTGAAAGAGCTTATCTGCTCAACTCGTTCGCTGAAGCTTCTGTYGCCCTTTCTGCTCGCAGGCAGTGTTGTTTAAAATTTGGAACCCCAGTGGAAAGAAAAGAAAAAAACGTATAAATGAGTCACCCTCTGGAATGACCGTGTGGAGAGGCGGCAGCAGAGTTCAGCCCTGATAAACAGGCATCGACCCGGTTTTATTTTTTCTTCCTGCATGTAAAAACGGTCCAAACAGAGCATTGATCACTTTCACACTGAGGATGCTTTAACAGCTTCAACTCCCAACCAGCCGRCCCCCGTCCAGTGCAGCCTAAAAAGTCCCACGTTAACATATCGGCGAATGTGACTTCGATAAGACGCCCTCCTGCTCTTTGCTTTCAGATAGATTTTCACCTTTTGTCTTTCCCTCATCAGGCAGCCTCTCTGTGGGCGACGTCGCCGAGYTGTTGGAGCAGGAGACCCTGCAGCTCCTGAAGAAAGAGTGCGGAGGCCTTCAGACGCTTCTCAAGAACAACCACCAAGTCTTTCGAGGTAGTTTGCATCATTACAGGTCGGCCACATGAGTTAGAACCAAAAAGATACTAGGACTTTTGAGGAGAAAAAATGAATAAATTGAAAAATGGGATTGGGGATTTAAGACCTGCCCTGTGAGYGTAGCCTTCCTTACCTATGTTACATTGTTTCAGGTGATGGATTTATCAAATATACTCAATAAATCTATTCTCTAACTTTCTGCCATTGCTAGTGAACGTGTGCAGACCCCTGACCAAATGAAAAGGTACTTTCTGATAGAGTTGCTGGTTTTATTATGCAACAACTCAGCTGAGGTGTTCTGAGCCCCAACAATACATCACTCCACTCTRATGTTGTCTTCTGGACAGAGAACAGACTTGTTTGGGAAGATCCTACATTAAAAGATCAGATATGTTCCTGTCTTTTTTCATTTTAGTGGAAGGAGGGAGGGTCTACATAAGAGATTGGCGGGACAAGAAGTCCTCCGGGGCTGCAGTCCAGAGGAAACCCATCGCCCCCGGTGCCATGAAAACTCGTCTGTGTTGGTTTTACACCCACCACCCTCAGGGCTGCCCACTAAACACCCAAAACTGTGCCTTCGCTCATGGACCAGATGAGCTCCGACCCTCCACCAGACCACCAAAGAAGAAGATGTTTTGAGATTGCACCTCTTGATAATTTAACTTCATGTTTTTAAGTTGGTTATACATCTTTTTTTATTTCAGTGTAGCTTTTGTTGAAGTGAAAACATTTTACAATAAAAGCTTCATATTTAATTAACAAGTCTAAAATTGAGTGTTCTTGTTTGTGAGTTMTTTCTCTCAGCTCAGACGTGCTCTCTGAGGTTCACAGACGGGGCGTGGGATAAAGGCTCGCGCAGTGTTTGAACGGAGTAAATGTTAGAGCTATGAATTATTTGTTGGCGGGACACGAAGGGTCGAGCTGCGTGTCGTCCTCTCCACGGGCGCTTGCTGCTGCTTCTTTCAGTCGCAGCTTGGCTCAAATGTCAAAAGACGGTCGGAGCTTTCCCGAGGTCTGCAGCAGGGYGGAGGGAAAAGCCACTTCTTAATGTGATAAAATATTTCAGGACTGGTTTTCCTTGGACTAGTTTGAAAATATATTGTAGGTTTTTCCTCCCCTCTCACATGTCTGTTGTTTATGACCGTCACAACCCYGAGGAAACTAAATTAGTTTGTCTGGTTTAAACGGTTTCCAGATGGACGAATATTTCTGTGTCAAAACATATGAATTACATTAAATTATTTCCCTTTAATTATTATTGATTAATGTGATGCAGTGCCRTGTTTCTTCCACATCGGCTGCTTTAAGGTTTATTTTTGTTCTGTAATTGGAAGAAGACCTGCAGGAGTGTCTGTTTTATTTGTTTGTCCGTGCTCAGGAATTAAACAAGGCAGTGGCTAAAACACACGTGAATGCACGCACGCACGCACATACACACACATAGATATACAGTATATATTGTATATTAAAATCAAGAAAGAAGGAGAGCCCATTAAGGGAGAAAAATCTGGCCTCAGATCTGGGTCAGGAAGTAGCGACGGCAGCTCTTTGCCCAAACCGACAAGTTTTCCTCTTTTTCTCTCTTCATGCTTTAGTCATTTTAACAGGGACGTTTGGAATACAGCTACTTTAAGATGTTTTGAAGGGTTAATGTCCTTAAACTAACTCTCCTAAACATCAGCACCCCAGTTTTATTCGCTCTCCTCTGGCTTCCAGTTTGTTACAGAATACACTTTAAAACTTTTATTGTTTGCTTTTAAAGCTCTTAATGGTCTTACCCCTTCTTTTTTAGCTGATTTAATAGTTTTCCATGAGGAGGAGAGAACTTTAAGGCCAACTRATACATTTTTACGTTATGTTCTAAGGTCCAAACATTGCAGATTTTGGATCTGGCTTCCTCAGGATTTACGCTCCACTCCTGACCTGGGCTTTTAAAATTTATAGTGATTTCTTGTTCTGTGAATAACTTTTTTTGTTTTATTGTTTTTGTTGTGTCTTAATGTCTGTTTTATATTGTCAAACTGAAGGCTTGCGAGCCAAATGTGGCCCACCACAACATTTTATGTGGCCTGCAAGAGCTTCAGAGATGCATTAAAAACATAAAAACATGTACAATAGGTTGCCTTCAGGCCCAGGCCTCCCTTGAAAAAGAGGTCTGAAATCTCAGCGGGACTTGCCGATTTAAATAACGATAAGTAAAATAAAATTAATGTCTCAAAAATAACAAAGCCAGCCTTGGCCATAAACTACATCTCCCATAATGCATGTTGATTATGTTACACATAATATGATGGCATCYAGGATTCCTAGGAAAGGATAGGATAGGAAAGTAGCCATCAACATTTGTTGTGTAAAATCTCCAATTCTTTGCATTTTAACTACTACTTTAATTCTGCGTTCTATTTACATCATATTCCGGAACTAGGAATGACGGCATTTCCCAACAAACCATTTGAAACTGCATTCCAGTTAGCCGACAGGTGATTGTATTGCTTCTGCTAACCTAGCTACAACACTGCTACAATATAAATGATGACAAAACGAGAGCTTTACTGCGTGCAAATAAACATTGATTTTAACACATACAGTACGCACCGAAAAAGCACTACTACTTTTGCGTGTGACTAAACATGCAAAAATACATTAAGAACAATAATTAACAGTAAAAGTTATGGAGATACCTTTCTAAAGCTGTGCGTAGCTGCCATGGGAGGAAGAAAAATTCCATTTCCCAGTGCTGCTGGAAAACACCATTACTGCAGCCTGGTTGTATTGGGAAGTGGGAATTTCCCACTTACAAGTCATAAATATAAACTGGATTCCAGTGGGAATTCCCTGCCAGAAGTGGGATCAAATGTGTTAAAACACCGTTTCCTTGCAGGAAATACCACGTAGAGCTCAGTTGTTTGTTAGAAGTACTCAGCATAATGAAACAAGGAACGTGATGTTTTGTTTTTAGTCAAAGTAAAACATGAAACGTTGAAGTTAATTACAAACTGGCCCTTTGAGAGCCACCATAATGTGGCCCGCTGTGAAAATGAGTTTGATAGCCCTGTTGTAAGGAGTTCAGGATCCTCTCTGCTGTGGGGGTGCTTTAGTAAAGAAGAAGTTGTGGAGTAGAGATCCTGAACAGAGAACCGATGGATGGATTGTCCACATGTTGAACTGAAAGTGATTGTATAAACCCTGTTAAAATGAATATAACATTTAACAGATTTTACCATATAAATTTTATTTTTCTTAATCTTTAATACATTGAAGATTTTTTAATTCTTACRTAGAATCAGTTACAGAATGAAATGCTTCATGACCAGAAAGATTTGACCAGAAAGATGAAAATATAAAATCATTTAGTAATATTTTTCCTCTGCAGTTTTAGCTTCACTGTCACCTGAACAACATCACATTTTAATAAAAACAGGTGAAATTCTATTGACTTTGTTCTGACTGACTGACTTAGTACAGAATAAATCAATCCACCACACTCACAGGTCCAGCTTTTTCTAGGTTTTCAGTTGGAAAAGTGTCAAACACTTTAAAATTGTGGAGTTACAGTCCTCCTCGTACTGAATTTTACAAAAATGATCCATGTAGCAAAAAGAAAAAAAAAAAACCCCTACAAATTTGCACTTTCTAGTAAGAGCACAAATTATGTTCTTGAGTAACATGTGACTCAGTGTAAACAAAGGCTGAGTCATGCATGTAAGTGGTGAGGTGAAGAGTCCTTTCAGCTTCTGCAGGGCCGAATAAATAAAAACACAGATCAGAAGCAAAGCTTTATGTTGYTGAAATGGAGCTGATTTAAATGCAAACCAATTCGTATCTGACACATATGGAGGCCACCAGGTGTCTGGTTTGAAACAACGGAGGTCAGAAGAATCTGTTTAGCACACCGTGGACTCACATCGATGCCTCTGTACCACAGGTGTTGCAGTTAGCTTTGATTTCTGTGTGGAGATGAGGGAGACTTCTGTCAACACCAGAAATGAAATTAGGGGCTTAGGGATTGTCACCATCCAACTATAATATTCAAAAACAGCAACAGCAGTAACTGCGGTGTCACCTACAATTTCTGACATTTTGAGAGGATTTTTATCCATGTGTAAGAGCTCCTCCATCTTGGAGCATGACTTGTGTTCATTAAATGGCTCTCAAACTGTTGGCTGTTATTTCTCTGTTCTACTAAAAGATGTTTTTGACACAAGAAAACATCTATTCACTTTAAAAAAAATCGTCTTTATTTATAACATTTTTCACTGAAGCACATCCCCATCTCGTTACTGATGAAACGCATTCTGGAGACCATGATGGATGGTGATGATGATGATGATAATAAAGTTATGTCTTGTATTAGTTTCTATGCTTTGCACAATATATGGGTTGAAATGATTAAATGTGATGCTTCGTAATAGCTCTGGAGCTAACTCAATATATACATACTGTATATTAGTAATACACACATATATGACGTTACCTCCTGAGCTAATATTATTTTGAGAGCTGATGCTATATATATA